CCTGAAACCCGACCTCAGTCACCTGGAATAAAACTCCTAAAGACGGAAGTTTGGGATTGACTCCTGATCCGTAAACTTGGTGTTTCCTCTGCCCTCTTCTCCGTCTGCAGGCCTCAGGTCTTTACTGCCCTTTTCTTTGTCTGCAGGCGAGCAGCGACAAGAAGTCAGACTAAGGAGAATGAAGGTCACTTCCAGGCTTTCACACCTCCATCACCGTCCTCCGCTTCCTGTAACTCCTGAAACCCCCCGCACACGCACACACACACACACACACACACACACACATACACACAGACACTGATGTCAGAGCAGAGTCCCTACGCTGTGATTGGACGATCAAACTGTCTCTAAAACTGTTGTGTCCTTGTTTACACCTGACGGGTGTGTGAGTGGATCTCTGGTTCTTTTCTTTTTCATCCTTTTTACGACCGGATCCATCCCGTCTCCTTCTCCATGACCGGATCTTTCCCGTCTCCTAACCGGATCAGTCCAGTCTCCTGACCAGATTTTTCTCGTCTCCTGACCGGATCATTCCCATCTGGTGAAAGGATCAATCCGGTCTCCTCCCTGCAGGACCAGGCGACTCCGGACTTTGATGCTATCTGGAGAATATGAGCTTCAATCCAGAAAAAAGGCTTTTTTTCCACATTTTAAAGTTAAACATAAAATAATCTGGAACTCCTGAAGTTTTGTTTTGTTTCTAAGATTCTCACAAACATTTGGGTCACAAACAGAACCCGATCAAGTGGTCCTGGTCTGGTTTTGGGTGTGATCTGTTCAGAGTTTTGTTGACTGTAATAAACTCTTGATAAACTGTTGATCTGCATGTTGAGTTTCTGTGGTTGAATTTTGAATCCATCAGAATTCTGTTCAGGTTCTGGCCTGCTGGTTTAATCCGTCAGCTTTCTGCTGAGTTCTGGTCCAGTAAAACGCTTCAGGCCGGGTTCTGATCAGACGTGGGCTGGTCTGAGCTTCTGCTGCGATCAGGATCCGGTGCAAGCTGCTCTGCTGACCCTCAGCAGCTCAGCTTTCGGCGCCGACTTGCTGGCGGCATCACGACTCTGAACCAGAACTTTTTTAGGTCTCTGGTATTTCAGTCTGCAGCTCCTCGACGACCTTTGAACCCACAGACTCTCAGCTCCTGGGTAATTTGGATATTCTCCATAAGAGTCGATTGAGAACTCATTCTCATTTACGAGGTGTACAAGCAATCAAAACAGACCCAAAACAGTCTTTAAAGAGCAAGTCACCCCCTACCAGAGTATTACTCCACTCCCACTTCCTGTTTGAAAAATGCAACAAATGCTGTTGCCTAGCAGACCGAGAGGGCGGAGCCGCTAACAAATACACACGCACACAGGCTCACAACGACATTGTGACATCACATGGTACCAGCTAACATTCTAGGGTTCCTCTTAGTCAATAGCGGTGGCAGATTTTAATTCAAATGCAGTGCAGAGTTTTTACCTGACAACGGCACAACACTGACAGTTTTAGGCAGAAAATAAAATTTTAACTAAAATCCACTAAAGTGCAAAACTATTGACGACACGTGTCTGCAGCACGATTAGACACACGTTTATATAGTTTATCAGAAAAATACGTTGATTTGGGGGTGGCTGTTGTTCTCATAAACAGGAAGAGTGATCAGAAAATATTGATCACAATGAGTTATTGACTGTAGACAATGGAAAGTAGGTAGTGAGCTTTAGTGATTTTTGCAGCTCATTCCAGTCGTCGGAAGCAGCAAACTGGAATGAGGAGCGGCCAAAGGAGGTGGGAGCTTTGGGAATAACCAGAGATTAAGTTACTGGAACGTAAATGATGCTGGTTGTTGGAAGTGATGAGTAACAAGCAAAGATATGACGGGTTAGGGTTACCCTAACCAATGTAACATCCTGCAGGAATGGAGGGATGGACAGTTAACGAGTGAGTACAGATCACAATGATGAGTAGTGAAAGGGGCACCAGTGACCAACCAGGTTGCCGAGCGACAAATGGCATCGAGTTCATGAAGACGTTTGTTGGAAGCAGCTCTATAAATGATGTCATTGTGATCTAAGATGGGAAGGATTGTCATTCTGACCAAGGTTTGCTTTGCAGAATGAGTAAAGGATGACCTGTTGCTATAGAAACCCACTTCTTGACTTGACTTTAGAAACTAATGAATTCATGTGAAAGAATTGACCGGCTGTAGTTCTGTACCATCCGGGGAAACAACACTAGGGTGGAAAGTTGATTGCGGTAAGTTACGGTAGAAGATCATGAAATTCTTATTTTACTTGAGTTGAAATGAAGATGGAAGTTGGAGAAGGCATATTGAAGACAAAGTTGTGCTGCAAGGAGGACAAAGCTGCATTCAAGGAAGAACTGCTTGCATATAAAATGGTGTCGTCCACATATAAATGTGTATGAGGATTGTCAACAGCATCAACAATGTTATTAATATAGATTCTGAATAAGGCTGGGCCCAGTATCAACCCTTGAGGAACGCCCAAAGATAGAGGTAGAGGAGCAGATCGGTAACCCTCTGTTCTCAATGGTCTACGACCTCAGATGCAACTTCTGAACCATGCCATGGATGCCTGAGAAAGTCCTACATGTTTGAGCCTGCTAAGTAAGATGTTATGGCCTACAGAGTCAAAGGCTTTAGCCAAGTCAACAAACACAATATTCCTTATTGTCAGTGGCGTGTTGCAGACACATCCATGGCCAGTTCTGAAGCCGGACTGCATGGAGGTAATAATACTGCTGGATTAGTGGGTTAGTGGTTTGTTGACTAACTTTTCAATGACTTTAGAGGCAAGGCAGGAGAGAGACAGGTCTATAACAGCTTAGGTCTGAATGATCTCCCCCTTTAAAGAGTGGAGTAACAGATGCAGATTTCCAGTCCTGCAGAAATGCACCAGTTTGTATGGACAGATTAAATAGATTGGTAATGGGTGCAGCAATAACACGTGCTGCTGTTATCAGAAAGAATTAAAGGATCAAGAGTTTCCAGTCTGGCTGATTTATGAGGATCTAACCTGAGTAACTCGTCAAGTACCTCATTTACCTGAAACAGCTGGATGGAGGAACAGGAACTGGTTGTGGGGAGGGAATCGTTGCATATATGTGAGTCGAGGTCAGAGACCCCAGAGACGTGTGAAGCTGTTGCAAAGGCATGACCAGGCTTGATAAAGTGATCATTGAAAGAATTTATAATTTTAGTTTTATCTGAGACCACAACGACCTCCGATTTGATCGCATTTGTGGGGACTTGTTGGTATTTTCCAGAGTCTTAACAGTCTGCCAGAACTCATCCGAAACTGGTTCTTATAATATTCAGATTTAGCTTTTCTGATTGACCGGGTATACATTTGTTCCTTATGTTCCTTACGTTTCTTCTTCCGGCTCTTGGAGAGTACAGACACTTTTTTCCTCCTCTCCTCCCTATCTTATCTCAAGGCTCTTTGTCGGTCTTTGGGTGGACGGCGCTTCTGCATTTTTTCGGGAAACTGGAAATTATTAAAATGGACCTGGTCAGTTGGTCTCTCAACGCGATTGACAAGATTTTTTCAACGATGAGAACGGGAGAAGGGGCTTGCGGTTGCCCCTCTGGGATAGAGCCAGTTGGCCATATCATGGACTCCTGGAAACACCTGATCTGCCTCTCTCAACTGTCTGTAGAGGATTCTGAAGACGTGTGGATATTCATTTCGTTGGTGTCAGGTTTCCTGCTTTTTGGCCTGAGTGGTTATCTGGCTTACCGGAAAATTAATGAGCTGTCGAGGAATATTGGCTCAATCCCGGAGCTCAGGGATGGTTTACAAAGTGCTGTGAACGCACAGACTCATATAAGATGCGTCGTAAGCTTGGAACTTTGGCTGAGATTCAGACTCAGAAGGCGCACAGAAGGTGAATTCAATCAAGGAACGAGTTGACGGGTCAGCACGGATTGGGATAGATTAATTTACGACGTTATTGGATTCAGAGGGGTTGAGGACCAACGGAACGTTAAGACAGAGAGGAAATTATCTCTGTCTGGCCCCAAAACAAGTTCTTATCCGAACCTGGTGCCCTTGAGCCTGTGAAGCTGAAGCGATAACTCCCCCTCAGAAGAAATGTGGAATGCTGCCGTCGCCATGGCAACTCTGTCTCCCTATCCCAGCCTGGGCGGGACTGCGACCGGTGAAGGCCGTTGAATCGTTCCAGGAGTCACTGTGCTCTCTAAACCGAACAACCTCCCTCCCCTGTCCAAACGGAGATGACGAGCGCTGCTTATCGCGGCTGCATGCACTGATGTGTGGAGAGTCCCAAACCGTACCTCCCCACCTAGAGGACACTTATGTTGTGTAATGTCTGAAGTCTGTTGCATTTCTGTCTGAGGTGTTTTTTGCGTAGCAAAGCTACCCTCCCTGTGGAGGGTAACTCTGAAGTGCCCTTTTTTCCTCCACCTGACTCAATCCTTATATGAACCCTCTGATCTCTATTAAGGTAGCGCGACTCGGGTTGCAAATGACCACAGTCACCAATTCTTGTCATGTGTCTTGCCCATGTATGTTTGTGTGATCTCTGAATTGTGTGTACTGAAACTCTAATTTCCCTCTGGAATTAATAAAGTATCATTGAATTGAATTGAATTATAGACCTGAAGGATTGCCAGTCACTGATATTCTTGGATGTTGTTGCTCTTCGCCCAGATTGATGTTTTAGACAAATCAGTTCTGACAGTTCAGTGTTGATCCAGGGACTGAAACAATTTTTAACTCTGACTTTTATAAAGGTGCGTGTCTATCTAAAATCGAGATTAAGGAGTTGAAATGTGACCAAGCGTCCTCATCAGCAGGAATGAGGCTAATTCTATGCCATTGTTCTTTCGCTAAGTCACGTAAAAAGGCCTGCTCATTGAAGTTTTTTAGTATTCGTTTACTGATAATTGGGGAGGTTGTTTAATGTTTGTACCATTGCGGACACAAGCAGTAATACAAGGTCACTAAGGCTTTCGCTGAAAACTGCAGATGAGTCTTTTGTTGGCCTGTTGGTGAGAATTAAATCGATTAATGTTTCATTATCGAAGGACTTATTGATAAATCTGGATGGAGATTGCACGATCTGGGAGAGGTTTAACCCTCTGGAGGCAGGCGTTGCAGATTTGCAGCGTTAAAACCTACCTACCTGGTTACTCCACACACGTATTTCATGAGCATTTTTTGACTCAGAAGTACCCCTGAAGGACTTATTGGTAAATCTGGATGGAGATTGCACAATCTGGGAGAAGTTTAAAGCATTCAGCTGAAGTTGCAGAGAGGAAGGCGGCTTGAGCACGTCCCAGTTCAAATCACCTAAAAATAAGAATTCAGAGGAGGTGTAAGGGACAATGAGTTGACTGAGAGCAGACGGGGCACTGGCAGGGGCAGATGGGGGCCAGCAACAACCAAAGAGTCGTTTTTTGAGAGATTAATTTTTAGTGACAGCAGCTCAACACTAGTCAGTGACTTGATGCAATTTGCTGGGTTCCTTATATAGGAAACATTATTTCTGATTGGCTTAATGAACTGACCTGAATTGGAATGTTTATTATGTGAAGTGCCTTGAAACGACTCGTGTCGTGATTTGGCGCTTTATAAATGAACTTGAACTTGAACTCAAACTGTTTGGGCAAAGGTTTGAGATAACATGGCTGAACATGGCAAATTGTCCTTACAGTAAATAACAATCCCCCCCCCCCCACCCTTGGTTGGCCTATCCTGACGTTCTAACCAGGGATGGACACGACAGAGTCAGGTTGCGGACTTCTTGAGCCAGGTCTCAGAAATGACTAAAACATCCGGTTCAGCTGTCTGAACATAAACTTTAGGTTCATCTGTCTTGGGGAGGAGGCTTCAAATGTTTAAATGCAAAAATCCCAAAGCTTTACGACTGCAGGAGCATTCAAAGGTCATTGTCTTCATGCCAGAAGCTAAAGAGGTGGCAGTTAGTAAGGAGGCGGAAGTTAAAGACGTGACAGGGTTTGTTAACTGGAGAACCAGAGGCTGCCCCTTCTCTGGAGTTCGTCCTGCTGTTTGAATGTCTGAGACGTAAACCTCTTCTGTTTGGTTGCGTCTGCCAGCAGAACTCTGGCTGGACTCACCTGAGATTCGTTCAAAAGGTTAAATCTAGTTTTAATGTTTTTATTTAAAACCAGATCTCTCCAGTTCTGGATCCACGTCTCAGGATCCAATCAGCTGATCTGGTTTTCAGCTGATGTGGCTGTGGTGCATTATGGGTCAACATCTGAACTCTGGTCTGATCCAGAACACTTGATGACCTTCGACCTTTAACCTGAGGCTGAGATGGAGCTCTTTTTGCCGTTCCTCTGAGTGTTGACCTCAGAATGAGCCTGCGGGGAAGAAACTCTGCTGTCTGGAATGTTTCTACTAGTTAGAGTTTTTGTAGGATGACAAACTCCTAATGACCTTTGACCCTTTCCAGACAGACAGCAACAGTTCCTGTTTGTTAACACACAGGTGTATGCTCCGGAGGAGCTCCTGGACCCTGGAGGAAGTGAGACTCGTTTCTGTCTTGGTTTATTTTTGCTCCGCCTCTTCCCTCCTGTTGAAGGGAACCAATCAGTGAGCAGAGACACAATCAGCTGTTTGAGTTGAGTTTTATTGCCTTTAGTAGTGAGTGATCACAGAGACACACAGCATGGAGACCCCCAGGGGTCAACAGGTCAATGCAGACCGCCGAGGCTCAGGGTCAACGCTGGAGTTTTGGCTGCTGGCTGGTCAACGTGGAGCCCCGGCGTTCATCACTAACAGCTACATGTTTTCTAGAAGCTACTAGCTCGTCTAAAGTTCTGACGGAAGACGGCGAGGTCCAGCTAGTCGCTGGACGAATGAGGCGATGACGCGACTCCATTTGGACTGAAAACACAAAGCTGCCTGAACAGACCAGTCTGTAGGTTCTGGATCCACGCCGAGGCCGGACAGGAAATAAATGGATGGAAGCGGAGAGTCGGGATTAAAACGTTAATTCTTCCTAATCCGATTCTTCCTACAGATCATCAGAAAACTTTGTTAGTTACTCGTTTTTTTTTTAGCTCTGATGGCGTCGGAATTAAAGTTGTGGGTCATTTTGGCCACTAGGTGGCAGAAGATCAGCTGGAAATGCTAAAATCTGACAAAAACAGATGAGTGGTCCTCTCCAGAGTTTGAGCGGGATTCTGATCCAAGAGTCAATTTGACTTTAGCATTTTGCTGTTAGCCACCGCGAGGCTAGCTTCAGTTTCAGCCTCTAGTCAAGCCAAAGTGAGTCAGATGCACTAAAATGATTATCAAGAAGTTATTTTAGCTTCTATTTTTATTTTCCGTTTCTGATTGGATGATTTTTCGTTTTCACACATTTATTTAGCCTTTACAGACCTCTGGTGGTTTGGTCTCATCATCGCAGCCAGAAGGACGTGGAACATCAGCTGACTAATACTTAATTATTGCTGTTTTATTAAAACATTATTTATTATTCCCCCCCGACTCTCCTAGACTCCAAAAACACATCAAAATATTGAAAATCAACTGAATCAGAGTTTTTATGAGCAAAAATATTCCTGAAGTTTAGTTTAATGAAACTAGTTCCGTTTATCAAACACATTCAGCTAATGAAGGTTAGTAATTAGTTTATCAAACATTTTGCACAAGAACCGTCTGAATCTGACTTTGTGTTTCGAATAAAATTATCTTTAATATTCGGATCTTTAAAATCCTCCTGAATAATTTTCAGGTTTTTACTTTCAGCATCTTATTATTCGGCTGACCTTTCAGATGTTGGAATGTCAACGTTCCAGACTCGTTTTTGTTGATTTATTCTGATTTCAAAGTAAATTTGTTGCTTTATTAGCTAAAGCTCTGATTGGCTGAAAGTTTCAGACTGTTTCTCCTCAAGTGTAATCTGATTGGCCCTGAGTGGAAGACCCACGGGCTGCTGGGAGATGTAGTCGTGTGACTGAGTTGATTTAAACTGCAGCTCATTGGGATGTTCGGAGCAGTTGGAGGTCTGAAGGGGACAACACTGATTTTCAAAATAAAATCAAAAACCTAAAAACCATCTAAAGTTAAAACTCTGAACATTATAATAATGAAAAATTCCCTTTCTTGGTATTCGGAGCCACACAGAGGCCCGCTAGCTTTAGCATCACTGCATCGCAGCAAACCCGCCACAATAAAAGCCACACCTCTTGCTGCTCGTTGATGTTAGCCAGCCAGACACCGGCTCCGAGGCCTCTCAGCACTCATAATACTGATTCTGGTTTGGTTTTCTAGAAATCTGTTGTTGCTGCTGAGAAGCCTTTAAAGCTGCAACATGAGGAGGAAGGGAATGTAAGGAGCATTTCCCACAGTCCTCTCCTGCTCACAGCCGCCAAGGTTTGCATAAAAAGCTGAGATGTTAAATTTTAAAATGTGGACGGGAAGTGAGGTAGCCTGTAGCCTGGGGCAGCTTGTTGCTGGTGTTCGCCGGCTAAACGCCAACAATCAGCTAGAACTCCTCGTTCTGCATCAGATACTCAAAACAAACTTATTCAATATAGATATCTGTCACGTATCACCAAAATAAAAGCTTCCAGAAAATACTCCGATTCTTTTTAAAATCTGTAAAACAATAGCGTTCCTCTCAAAGTGCAAATAGATCTGGGTTCAACATTCTATCATCATGTTTGCCCCGATGGGGGGGTGCACGATTGCTAGGAGACAGAGTTGTAGACACCCCTCGGCTGCCAGTTGGAGGGATTTTAAAAGGAACCACGTGTTGGACATCCTTTAGTTTTCCGGGTCCGACCGGTCTGCTGTTTGGGTTTTAGAGTTAAGACAACAACGTAAGGCAACGCTGAGTGGCCCAGAGCCCTCAGGATCACAACCCAGACCCCCATATTTTATCAGCTCCAGGGTCAGACCGTCAGATCGGATCAGCTCTGGGGTCAGACCATCAGATCGGATCAGCTCTAGGGTCAGACCATCAGATCGGATCAGCTCTAGGGTCAGACCGTCAGATCGGATCAGTTCTGGGGTCAGACCGTCAGATCGGATCAGCTCTAGGGTCAGACCGTCAGATCGGATCAGTTCTGGGGTCAGACTCCCAGATCGGATCAGCTCTGGGGTCAGACCGCCAGATCGGATCAGCTCTGGGGTCAGGCTCTCGGATTGGATCAGTTCTCAGATCAGATCCGCTCCAGGGTCAGACCGCCAGATCAGATCCGCTCCAGGGTCAGACCGTCAGATCGGATCAGCTCTAGGGTCAGACCGTCAGATCGGATCAGTTCTGGGGTCAGACTCCCAGATCGGATCAGCTCTGGGGTCAGGCTCTCGGATTGGATCAGTTCTCAGATCAGATCCGCTCCAGGGTCAGACCGCCAGATCGGATCAGCTCCAGGGTCAGACCGCCAGATCGGATCAGCTCCAGGGTCAGACCGCCAGATCGGATCAGCTCCGCCGTCTTATTTGTTTTATTCTGAAGACAAAAGGATCTGCGTTCCACTTCCTGCATCTGAGCTGATCTGATCTAAGATATTTTTGATCTGATATTAGGAATGAGATCCACAAACCCAGGTTCAGAACAAAGACAGAACCAGCTGCAGAGCTGATCCTGGAGCTGCTGGTTGGGAGGACGGGATGTTTGGCCTGCGGATCGAAGCACCGGCAAAAAGAGACATGATCAAGTGGGTTTTGGCAGTCTGGAGCACTGGTCTGAGATCAGACCAGGATGACTGTTTGGCACTGTTTGACCCAAAAACGCAGCTTGACCTCTGACCCAATGAAGTGGATCAGAGGTCAGACAGAACCACTGTGCTGCTCAGAGATCTTCTCCAGGTCCAGCTGGACCTCCTGACATGAAGGTGTGTTCAGGGACTTCTGATCCATCAGGCTCCAACGCATCACAGAGTTGTGGTTCTGATGGGGATGGGTTCTACAAGTGGCATTGATGGGTCTATAACTCTGTCTCAGAGACAAACTAAACACTGCAGGTTAGTGTGTGTGTGTGTGTGTGTGGTGTGTGGTGTGTGTGTGTGTGTGTGTGTGTGTGTGTGTGTGTGTGCGCCCCCCCCAACGTGTAATTGCACTGACACCCTTCTCCAGCAGGAAGACAATCAAAAGTGTTTGTTTCCACCTTCAGCCAGCAGAACCAAAGTCCGTTACGGGTTCAGAAGTGCTGGTTCTGGGGAGGAGATGAAGACTGTTCTAAAGAAGCTTTAAGCTTTGGTTGCCATGGTGATGTGGAGGATGGATCTTGGGCGACCCGCCAGAGGAAACGGATCGGTGAGTCCAGCTTGCTGCAGCCTAGGTAGTAGGTGGACATGGATTGTGTCGGAGCAGCATCAGCCATCTTGTTTTTTTTGGGGGGGCTGACTTCAGCCTACATGACGCTCTCAAAGATGATGACCTTGTTGTCCTCAGAACCGGGGGTGAGCGAGTTCAGGGACCGGATGTGAGGGTCCATGTACTCCAGGTGGTGGTTCCCCCACACCGGGCTGGTCAGGTGGGCCCAGCGCTGCAACACACAGGGAGGTCATGTGATACAAGATGGCTGCAGAACAGTTACCGAAACAAAAACTGATCAGCTGATCTGGTCCAGAAACAGAATCACTGAACAGATTTTAGATTCTCCTCCACTGACTCAACACGTTCAGACATTTTCGTTGTCTCTTAGGAAAACTTACAAATAATTTATCTCTGGTCCATTAGCTTCGTGAACAGCCTCTGCTCAGAGAAATAATGTATGTCCTTCAGAACTGGTGAGCTAATGGCTAGGCTGAGGTCACAGCTAACCGTTATGACTCTCTATGCCACCATCAGTTTCTCTTTTCTCACATGAACCTCGGGGACTAGCCATTGGCTCAGCCTAGCTGCTAGTTACGCCTAGCAGTTAGCTTGGGCTAGCTGTTAGCTCATCGGTCTTAACGGATGTAGACTCTGTTTCTGTGATCTGAGGCTGTTATAGAAGCTAACGGGTCAGATAGGAAGGAGATTGTGACATTCCTTTAGATGAAGCTGATGAATCAGACTGATTAATGAAAGTCAGGTGAATTTCTGTATTTGAAATTTAATAAATATTTTCTTCTCTCCTCTAAGTTTTTCTGGATCCTGGTCTTGGTTCAGGACTTTGTAGAATAAGAGATCTAATGTCTGAATTTAACCCAGAGGGACTTCATCAGCTGACCTCTCTGAAGGTTCCTTTAGCCCTGAAGAGTTTGTAAAGGATGCTGACGGGAATGCAGAGCATGGAGGACAGAGCCAAGCACCATCCAATCACCTCCCCCCACCATGGGTACGTGTACACGTTGTTGTAGGTCAGAGGTTTGTAGTTCACCAAGTGGAACAGGAAGATGCCCTGTGGGAGCAGCAGAGTTAGAGTGATCTCGTCGGGGTAGGAGTGTTGTTAAAACCATGGTGGCGTTCATCCTCACCAAGCAGACACATGGAGTTATGAAGGACCAGCACCACTTCATCCACGGGAACGGCCGGTAACCAATCATACGAGCCACATCGTCCATGAAGCGATCAGCACCTGTAGGCCAGGTGGGTCAGAACCAAAATATGAACATGAATAAGATCTCTACAGTAACAAGCCTTTTAAGTTGGTCTGAATCAGTGATCCTCTAAGTTGTTCGGGATCAGTGATCCTCTATGTTGGTCTGGTTCAGATATCCTCTATGTTGGTCTGAATCAGTGATCCTCTAAGTTGGTCTGGATCAGTGATCCTCTACGTTGTTCGGGATCAGTGATCCTCTAAGTTGGTCTGGTTCAGTGATCCTCTATGTTGGTCTGAATCAGTGATCATCTACGTTGGTCTGGATCAGTGATCCTCTAAGTTGGTCTGAATCAGTGATCCTCTACGTTGGTCTGAATCAGTGATCCTCTAAGTTGGTCTGGTTCAGTGATCCTCTAAGTTGGTCTGGTTCAGTGATCCTCTAAGTTGGTCTGGTTCAGTGATCCTCTAAGTTGCTCTGGATCAGTGATCCTCTAAGTTGGTCTGGATCAGTGATCCTCTAAGTTGGTCGGGATCAGTGATCCTCTACGTTGGTCTGGATCAGTGATCCTCTAAGTTGGTCTGGATCAGTGATCCTCTAAGTTGGTCTGGATCAGTGATCCTCTAAGTTGGTCGGGATCAGTGATCCTCTAAGTTGGTCTGGATCAGTGATCCTCTAAGTTGGTCGGGATCAGTGATCCTCTACGTTGGTCTGGATCAGTGATCCTCTAAGTTGGTCTGGATCAGTGATCCTCTATGTTAGTCTGGATCAGTGATCCTCTACGTTGGTCTGAATCAGTGATCTTCTAAGTTGTTCGGGATCAGTGATCCTCTATGCTGGTCTGGTTCAGTGATCCTCTAAGTTGTTCGGGATCAGTGATCCTCTATGTTGGTCTGGTTCAGTGATCCTCTATGTTGGTCTGAATCAGTGATCCTCTACGTTGGTCTGGATCAGTGATCCTCTACGTTGTTCGGGATCAGTGATCCTCTAAGTTGGTCTGGTTCAGTGATCCTCTATGTTGGTCTGAATCAGTGATCATCTACGTTGGTCTGGATCCGTGATCCTCTAAGTTGATCTGAATCAGTGATCCTCTACGTTGGTCTGAATCAGTGATCCTCTAAGTTGGTCTGGTTCAGTGATCCTCTAAGTTGGTCTGGTTCAGTGATCCTCTAAGTTGGTCTGGATCAGTGATCCTCTAAGTTGGTCTGGATCAGTGATCCTCTAAGTTGGTCTGAATCAGTGATCCTCTACGTTGGTCTGAATCAGTGATCCTCTAAGTTGGTCTCGTTCAGTGATCCTCTAAGTTGGTCTGGTTCAGTGATCCTCTAAGTTGGTCTGGATCAGTGATCCTCTAAGTTGGTTTGGTTCAGTGATCCTCTACGTTGGTCTGGATCAGTGATCCTCTAAGTTGGTCTGGATCAGTGATCCTCTAAGTTGGTCTGGATCAGTGATCCTCTACGTTGGTCTGGTTCAGTGATCCTCTAAGTTGGTCTGGAATGGTGATCCTCTAAGTTGGTCTGGATCGGTGATCCTCTACGTTGGTCTGGATCAGTGATCCTCTACGTTGGTCTGGATCGGTGATCCTCTACGTTGGTCTGGATCAGTGATCCTCTACGTTGGTCTGGTTCAGTGATCCTCTAAGGTGATATCGATGTGTATATGAAACTATCATGGGTAGAACCCGTCACGTCTTCACTCATCACTTCCAACAACCAGCACAATTTACGTTCCAGTAACTTAATCTCTGGTTATTCCCAAAGCTCGCGCCTCCTTTGGTCCCTCCTCATTCCAGTTTGCTGCTTCCAGCGACTCGAATGAGCTGCAAAAGTCACCAAAGCTCACCGCCTACATTCCATTATCTACCTTCAATCACTCATGGTGATCAATAGTTTCTGATGAATGTGCTTCTGAGTACTTAAAGAGAGTTTAGGTCTGTTTTGAGTGCTTGTACAAATTCTAAATGAATTTAAGACTCTTGAGCGAACCTGGCCAGGAGTGTGTGGGTGTGTGGAAGTTGATCACGCCGCTTTAGCACCCGTCATCCACACATTCCTTCTCTCAACTCCAGAGTCTGAACTGTGACTTTTACTGTGGGCTAAAACCTGATCTGACATCTATTAGTGGAGTGTGTACAGCAGCAGCTGTGTGTGTGTGTGTGTGTGTGTGTGCGCGCGCGTGTGTGTCATACCGTAGACCCAGGCCACTACTATACACTCCCAGAAGGACTGCCACAGCAGCGTCATGCCGCTGGCGGAGTAATAGTCGAACAGCTGGAAGACGTACATTCCTCCCTGCAGAGACGGACTGCTCAGAGTCGTTCTACCTCCATGGTTGCCGGTTCAAATCCGACATGAAAACGTTCTGACTCACCTGAGTCACCATGGAGAGGTCGATAATGAAGCAGAGCAAACAGCAGATCGCCACGGCGATCTCACGTTTGTAGCGATGATAATGTTTCCCCGGAAACAGATCCAGGATTCCGGTAACGAAGCCCTCCACTCCCACAAACTGTTGCGACACAGTAAATCAGTCTGAGTGTCCCTGGAGCCTGAAAACCTTGCTCTCTCACATCTTCAAGGGGTACTCAAGTATTTATACTCAGTTACTTTGCTGTGAAAGGGAGGAAGGAGGAGTTTAGTTCACCTGACTGTCGAGTCCAAGCAGCAGCAGCATGAAGAAGAAGAGCGCCGCCCAGAGCGGCGCCACTGGCATCAGGCTGACCGCCTTCGGATACGCGATGAAGGCCAGACCTGGACCTAAAACCCAAACAACACAATGAACAGAACCCAGACCCTGCACCAGAACCCAGACCCTGCACCAGAACCCAGACCCTGCACCAGAACCCAGACCCTGCACCAGAACCCAGACCCTGCACCAGAACCCAGACCCTGCACCAGAACCAAAGCCTTTCTGTTTGAAGGAAAAAGAGGTTAACTTAGATTTTTACTTTCATTCCAACGCTTCATGTTTGCAGTTCGAACCTGTTGGATCATGCTTTTATTGTGAAAGTCACAATAAAATCTCATTAATTTAGGTCAACTTTATAATTAATCTTCCGACATTTGAAGCTCTGTGGATGAAACGTTCTCTTCTGTTGTCCAAGTTAGACCTTAGAGAGGGGATCTCCTCACCGTGCTTTATTCTGATAGGTAACTTCTGAATTTATAAACAAGCTAAACGTGTAGTTAAAATCCGATCATGCTTATGTTTGTTTACATCATCGTAGATTATCATGCAGGTACGGGAGAGTTGGACCTTAAAGGTTCTGGTGGGTTGGAGAGAGAGAGAACTGAACCTGATCCACCTCTAAGACCTGCAGCCTTGTGAGGACAAACTAAATATAACCACGTGTTGATGATGTCACGCCACATGGTGAGGAGCTAATAATACACGTACAGTAGGCTAACGCACATACACGCGCACGCATGCACGTGTGTGTGTGTGTGTTCTTGTACATACTACATACTGAGGACCATCCTCACTTTTTTTTAGAAGCTCACCAGATGGTTTTAGAGGTCTGGTGTGAATTAAGTTTTAGTTCAGGTCAGGGTTAGGAGTAGATCAGCACTGGTTAGGGTTAGGGTTAGGATATGGGTTAGGCATGGGGGAGTCACAAAAATGAATGGAGGGTCCTCATTATGATAGAAAGACATGCGTGTGTGTGTGCATGCACACATCTATTGGTAACTTCCTGTTCCCTGGACCCCCCCTCTCCGTTTAGATCTGGCGTTTTGACTTTTTACCTGATTCTGCCACCTGCGAGATGTCGACTCCCTGCTCGGCCGCCATGAATCCCAGGATGGAGAAGACGACGAAACCAGCAAAGAAACTGGTCCCACTGTTAATGAGGGCCAAGACGAAGGCGTCCCTGCAGGAGGACATGATGGGTCAGAGGGACACCTCAGAACATGAAACTGTGTGTGCGCGTGTGTGGGTGTGTGTGTGTGTGTGTGTGTGTGTGTGTGTGTGTGTGCGTGCGTGCGTGTGTCATACTTGTAGCAGTCGTTGTTGAAGCGATTGTAGCTTCCCAAAGCAGTCAGAGCTCCGAGCCCGATGGCGTATGAGAAGAAGATCTGCGTTCCGGCATCTATCCACACCTGAGGGTCAGAGGTCAAAGGTCAGGGATCTGGTGGGGTCGCCTTTCAGCACCTGGACAGTGCTCAGAACCCATCAGCGTGAACGCACCTGAGCCTCCTCCAGCTTGGACCAGTCCGGTTTGATGTAGAACATGATGCCGTCGTACGCTCCAGGAAGGGTGACGCCGCGGACCAGCAGGATGATGAGGACCACGTAGGGAAAGGTCGCAGTGAAGTAGACAATCTGAAACGCACAAACGGGTCAGCTCAGAACCAGAACCACGTCTCTCAGCTGGAACAGAAGCTCTAGGGAAGACGTTTATTTGTTGTTAGGAGGCTTCATTCAGAACCCGTGGGTGAGGATCCATCAGAACCAGGTCAGAACCACGCTTCACCTGGTCTGAAACCTTCTCGAGAACGCTGACACGCGTGGAGCTTCTCCTCCACCAGCTGGTCTCCAGGTGGATCAGAACCCAGACGCTTTCTGGTTCTGGGCGTTGGACTCGCAAAACCTGAACCTGGGTTACACAAGAGGGGAGGCGCAGGAGGCCCAACTGTGTTCTGACCCAGCGAGTCAACAGGAACCAGATCTGAACAGAACAGGGCCCACCTGGGAGGATCAGGTAACAAAGGCCCTGAAGGAAAAACACGAAGACAGCACTGGCCTGACACACACACACACACACACACACACACACACACACACACACACGCGCGCGCGCACGCACGCACGCACGCACACACACACACACACCTGAACATTCAGACTGTTGGAGGGTGACCTGGACCGGTACCAGGCTCTACTAGAACCTCCTCCAGCCTGATTAAAGGCGACTGTTTTGACCCAATAGGTTCTGACGGTCGGGTTTGGGTTTGGACACGAGCAGAACCAGCTCTGTGACCGGACCTGCTCAGCTCCGTTTTCAGCCTCCTGCTGAGGTCCAACAACACCGGGTCGATCTGCTGGTACCGAGAGCCGTGAGACTCGCTGCTGGAAGTCTTCTCAGTTTCTACTTTAGTCAGGATGAACCAGAACCACACAGAACCAGAGCCAGAACCAGACCCAGAGCCAGAACCAGAACTATTCTGTTCCCGTTTAGTCACGTAGCCGCTCATAAAACTGTAAACATGCTGGGTGTTTGGGACTGAGACGGGTCAGAACTACGTGTGAAGTATTTTAAACATTCCTGCAGGTTTCCGTCATCCTTTCTGCCAGGAGGGAAAGTTTTCCCAGTTCAGCGTGACCTTTAGCGGAGTCAGCGTGACCTTCAGATCAGCTGTTTCAGGTCAAACTGTTTTTTATTTATGATCAGAACTTGAGTCTGGGTCGGGTTTTGCTTTTGTGTGGGTATATTTGTTGTTTTAATGCTTTCTCCTAACAAACTTTCCCCAAAACTTCCCGCTGACACGAACGAGGCTCGTTATTCCCGGGAGCAGCAGCTGCAGACGGAGCAGGTGGAGTCCTCTCAGTCACGTCCCACTGCGGTGCAGCTGCCCCCCATCCGCAGGCCAATCACAGCCCGCCACATCACGAGCTCCTAACCCACCCTTGGTTGTCATAGCAACGCTGAGCCGTCATGTGACCACAGCGCGCGTGTCACCACAGCAAAACAGACAAGGTGAATCACAGGCGGCAGATTTAAAGGGATAGTCCCACATTTTCTCCCTCCTGCATAAACAACTCGATCAAGACGGATAGATTTTATTTATACATAAACATATTATCTATTTATTTATTTAAATAAAAAATGTGTTTTTATTTGAAAATATTTTTAATTTAAAACAAACAAGTACATGTGTTTTTATTTACAAGTAAATCATCTATTAATTTAAAATAAATAAATGTGCTTGATTTATAAATAAATAATGAATTTATTTAAAATGAACAAATAAATAAATGTGTTTTTATTTACAAGTAAATCATCTATTAATTTAAAATAAATAAATGTGCTTGATTTATAAATAAATAATGAATTTATTTAAAATGAACAAATAAATAAATGTGTTTTTATTTACAAGTAAATCATCTATTAATTTAAAATAAATAAATGTGCTTGATTTATAAATAAATAATGAATTTATTTAAAATGAACAAATAAATAAATGTGTTTTTATTTATAAATAATTAATTCAATTTAAGAAAAATAAATGTGTTTTTATTTGTAAAGAATTATTTATTTAAAATAATTTTTTATTTACAATATTTCATGTATTTAAAAAAATACATGTGTTTTTATGCATGAATACATTATTTATTCGTTTAAAATAAATACATAAATGTGTATTTATTAAATACATAATTTACTTAATTAAAATAAATAAATAAATAAACATGTTTTTATTTTTGAGAAGCTTTTATCTGAAGTGACTCACTTGTTTCTGCTCTGGGTTGAAACACGGGACAGTGCCAACAACTGCTCATAGCTCAACTGATGATGGTAATAATAATAATAATAATAATAATAATGGTGATAATAATAATAATAATAATAATAATAATAATAATAACAATAATAATGGTGATAATAATAATAATAATAATAATAATAATAGTGATAATAATAATAATAATAACAATAATAATAATAATAATAATAATAATAATAATAATAATAATAATAATAATAATAATAATAGAAATCATGGGGAGAAACATTTACAGAAAAACTCTCTTAACTCAAGGGATGAGCCAATGAAGAACAGAACCAGTTTAAAGTAGATCTTCAGTCTCTGGTACCAGCAGCCTGTCACAGAGAATCAGACTGGTTCTGGTTCTTTAGTTGGATCCATTTACAGACTAAAGGGAACCCAGTCTGATTTGATGAAATGTTCTGACTGAAGGACCTACCTTCCCAGTGGATTTGACTCCTTTCCAAACGCAGAAGTAAACCAGAACCCAAACGGCCACCAGACACAACATCAACTCCCAGTTCATCCTCCCGGGTTCATCCAGACCAGACGAGATGTTCAGAACTTTGTTTCTGCACAGAGAGACGACAGAACCCCCCCGCCCCCGTCAGCATTAAATATGCAGCTGGGGCCGTCAGGTTGACCCGACACCAGAACTTACTCCCAGAACTCGATGATGGGCGAACGGGCGTCAGACAGGTCCGAGCAGGTCATGTTGCTGCTGCCCACGGTGACGTTGGCCAGGCTGGCGTTCTTACAGTCCTGGTGGTGGAAGATCTCGATGCAGTTGGGTGTGTTCCATTCGTTCTCACAGGTGGACCAGGGGAGGGTGGAGCTAAACGACTTGATCAGGTAGTAGAAGCCCCAGGCCAGAACCATGATGTAGTAGGTGTTGCAGAAGAAGACAATGACCATGGAGGCATAACCTAGGCCTGTGGAGAGACAGCAGGACACGATGAAGCACTACTCTGCTGTTGCTAGGCAACAAACTGGCCATCTCAGAGCCTTCATGGACACATCGGTGGACATCTTAAACATCTTCCGACAGTTTAAGGTTCATCCATCAGAGACACGCCTCAGGATCAACAGGAAACAGGAAGTGGTCCCTGAGCTCTAGCGGCCACGTTCAGACTTTTAAAAGTGTGTGTTTTAATTGTGTAACTCCTGTTTTTATTTCCTCTAATCTCAGGCTAAATGAGAGATAGCACGCAGCCACCAGTCTCCCAGAATGCACTGCTGCAGAGACACGATGAGCAGGTGAGTCAGCAGTCAGGTAAAGTTTGACTTTGAGCAGGCCTTCACACACCGAGCGTGTGCGGTCCAAAGTCTGGTGAGCAACATATTCTGTTGTCATGGTAACAATAATAAAGAGCCTATTGGACCAGAGCTGTTTAATAAAAACTAATCATTTACGTACTCACGTTACTTTTAAAGCTTTAAGACGCCGTAAACAGGGTGGGATTTGTGTGTTTCCATGGTGACGACTCTGGAAATCTGCCTTTCTACTGGAAATCAAATCTGTTCAAAGCCTCCAGAACCTCAGAGCTGACTAATACATACTAACTACAGCTCTTCTCCAATGGTCAAATATGGGAGGAAAAAGATTTCAAAATAAAAGTCTGAACTAAAACAAGAAATTAAACTAAAAAGGGTTTCTGTTGCTGCTGAGGGTGGAGATCAGACGGAGTCTGGCTCATAAACAGATTTATCAGATCCCATGATGTGTGTGTGTGTGTGTGTGTGTGTGTGTGTGTGTGTGTGTGTGTGTAAGCACGTATACATAAGCTTTTATCGAGACCTTCAACTCAAAGTGTCCTTAGATGTTGGCTTATGTTTACACTGAATGTTGGAATCTGAGTGTGTTACACACACACACACACACACACACACACACACACACACACACACACACACACACACACACATTGTGTCCCATTGACAGAGAACGCTGACCCAGCTGATTCTGTTGGGTTTAACTTTGCTTTAATAAGAACTTAACATGGGACGGATGAACCACAGCCACCAGACCTGAAAGGTCATTGCGGCTCTGACCTTTGACCTCCTGCAGAGGTCAGCCTGAGCCCAAAGCGCCCGGCGTTGCTGACCTTTGAACAGCGGGGCGATGTTCCACACGTTGATGCTTCCTGCTTTCATGAACTGACCCAGCGCGATCTCCAGGAAGAAGATGGGAATTCCTCCGACAAACACGATCAGCAGGTACGGGATCAGGAACACACCTGTAGGGCCCAAACAGGTGAGACGTTCAGGGACAATCGCAACGTCACACTCTAACTTATTAAAGATAATTAGCATTTATTATTATTTTAAATTAACAATAAAACAAAAGTTTTATAAAAAAAAAGCTGTTTAATAATGACCCAGCTCAGACTTTCTGAGGGATCCTGACCCGGTTCCGGTTCTGTGGAACGCAAACTTAACAAAACGAAGAATCTGAACACAACGGGGACTGGACCTAACCCAGAACCAGAACCTGATTGTCCTTCAGAACTGGGTCAGATTTAGGTCCCTGAACAAAGACCTCTCTTGGTCCAGGTTCTGGTTCTAGTCCGAGTCCAGATTCTGGTTCTAGTCCGAGTCCAGATTCTGGTTCTAGTCCGAGTCCAGGTTCTGGTTCTAGTCCGAGTCCAGGTTCTGGTTAATCTGATAGAGTTTTGGATCTAATTTTGATAAAAACTGGGAAACAGAGTCAGAATGACGGGAAAACTCTGGTTTGTTGCTCATTCGCAAAAATAAAAATTAAATTTTTTAAAATAAGTAAAGTGTCATCTAATATTTATATAAAAACAAATAAAACAATAAATCAGCAGATTTTCACCCTGACCATCTTCCTAATTAGTGATTCATGTATACACACACACACACACACACACACACACACACACTAGGGGGTAACTGGGTCACGGTCCCACCAAGAGCTGGAATTAAAGGAATTGAGGAGGAGGGAAGCTGAAGCGAAGTGACGATGGGGGTGTTTCATAAGAGCAGCAGCCATGACTTCCTCAGCCAACATTCATGTCATCATCAAGTAGTCATTTTCTCTGATAAAACATCCTTTAAAAGTCCCCCCCCCCCACACACACACACACACACACACAGCTCATGTAGCTGTAGCTGCCCATAGGTGATGAGGATGATGATGAATGAGCTGCAGGAACTGGATGAATTCCAGAAGGGTCACATGACTCAGTGATGATGTAATGCTGTTAGCTCCTCGTTAACTCAGTGATGGGATTACAGAGTTTAATCAGCTGCAGTGACACACACACACACACACACACACACACACACACACACACACACACACACACACACACACACACACACACACACACACACACACACCTGGACCCAAGACAAAAATGGTTGGATGCTAAGCTAACTAACCTGGGTCAGTCAGTGGGTTAATTACTCTGTTGTCACCGCCTTCATCATCGTCATCATCATCACTCAGTAGAACAGCCACATTGCAGCACCGGAGTTCACCCCGTGTTCTGATCCAGAATTAGACCTGAGTAAGAACGGGTCTCCTTACATCATGCTGGGCCTAATTCAGCTCTACGGGTCACGTGGAGAACCGCGCCGAGCAGATCAATAATTACCTGATAGGAAAGGGCCAATAACAGAAGCCTCACGTTGCTTTCTACACAACTTCACGGTGAATAGAGGAGCTGCTAATCAGCTAATGTAATAGAATTATAACAGCTGATCCAATCAGAACCAACAACCCAAACTTGATGCTTCTGTAAATCATCTCATTCCATCAATAAACATCACACAGACATGGTTCTGTGGAAATTTTACACCCAAAACACGTCCTGTCTTTAATATTTTAAGTGTTATCATCTCTCATCAGCTTGGTTTCCATGGAAACGTCATCCAGCATCCTTAGAAGAGCTCCATGTTGTGTCCACAGAGTCTTTTGGTCTTTAGAGAAAAGGTTCGGTGCTGCTGGGCTGAAAGACCCGGGGTGACTCAGTGACCCTGAGAGACCCGATGACCTGGAGAGACCAGATGACCTGGAGTGACTCGATGACTCGAGGTGACTCGATGACTTGAGAACAACTATTTGCTGATGTCCAGCTGCAGCAGTGAAACTCATCACGCCTGAACTTTACCTGGACTTTGGTAGAACTGACCCAGTTTACTCTGACAGAACTGATAAGTAGAACCGACCCAGAAGGTTCCCCGTTCCCCTTCAGCTACGGCAGCAGAACGTTTATCCATCAGCTGTCTGACCAGAAGCAGGTCCCATCCTAGAAGCTGCTTCTCATCAGAACCAGAACTCTATCAGAACCACGTAAAGCATTTGTCCTGGTGAAGGACACCGGACTCATGTACCCATCAGAACCACAGGTTCTGGTTCTTTTCCTGTTTTCTGATAATTGATTAGCTCTGATTGATCTGATCAAGCACACATGCTCTGCTGCATGTCTCCATGGTAACAAACCCTTGGTTGGGTCTGTGGCAGTGGGCGGAGTCAGGTACTTTTATGACTGCATGTGTGTAGATGTATATGCGTGCGTGCGTGTGTGTGTGTGTGTGTGTGTGTGCGTGTGTGTGTGCGTGCATGTGGACCAGAGATTACCAAGAGTGGCCTGTAATCTTTTAATCCTGTTCACAGGCCTCACTGCTGCTCCTCTCCTTTTTTTCTCCTCTCCTGTCCTTTACTTTTTTATCTTCTTCATGTGTCCCCCTTTTGTTTAGTTCATCCTTCCTGATCTTAAATCTTTCTCCTTAGTTTCTTTTTGTGTTACATAATTGTTCATGTCCACACACTCCACACACACACACACCACACACACACACACACACACACACACACACACACACACACACACACACACACACGCGTGCGTCTGAGGGGCAGAACTGACTAAAGATGAAACTGAGCTTCAGGTCAGTTTAGAATCCATGAAGCAGAGAATCTTTGTGGTGTGTGTGTGTGTGTGTGTGTGTGTGTGTGTGTGTGTGTGTGTGTGTGTGTGTGTGTGTGTGTGTGTGTGTGTGTGTGTGTGTGAGAGAGAGAGAGAGTTGGTGCTGTCGTCACATTATCAAGGGCACACATGTGCTGCAGGATAATAAATCTGAGTCTGACTTTTTGGAGGACAAAGTCAGAAAGGACAGAAAGAGGGATGAGAGGATAAATAATAAAAGAAAGGAAAAGAAAAGAAAGGAAAAAGAAACAGATACAAAGAGGTGATGGGGAGGGAGTGAGGAGCAGAGCGTCAGACCACAGCTCGGAGATCCGTTTGAACACTGAAACATTTAGTTTTGGACCAAAGTCAGAACGGTCCTTCAGCTTTGATGGACGAGGTGTGAAGCAGGTGACCTTTACAGGAAGTCAGCGTGTAACGTGAGAACTGGACCTTTACTTTTGATTCTCTGTGATTTAGGCCTGACCTCCTCCTCCTCGTCTCCTCCATCCAGCTCAAACTGATTGACGGTGCAAATGAGATCTTTTCAGGTGAATAAAGCTGTCTCAGGAGTTTGTCTAGTTAACCTTGTCCTGTCTGTCTCCTCCTGTCTCCCGTCCATCACATCTGTGTCCTCTTCTACCACAGATGAAACTGATCGGCTTCAAACAAATCGCAGAAATTAAACTGAATTGTATCTGATGTTTATCTTTGATCAAAAACATGAAAATGTTTATTTTCCTCAGGAAGCTAAAGCAGTTTTAATATTTAGCTTCCTTAGCTCATGAAGCTAAAGCGGTTTTAATATTTAGCTTCCTTTAGCTCATGAAGCTAAAGCAGTTTTAATATTTAGCTTCCTTTAGCTCATGAAGCTAAAGCAGTTTTCGTATTTAGCTTCCTTTAGCTCATGAAGCTAAAGCGGTTTTAGTATTTAGCTTCCTTTAGCTCATGAAGCTAAAGCGGTTTTAGTATTTAGCTTCCTTTAGCTCATGAAGCTAAAGCAGTTTTAGTATTTAGCTTCCTTTAGCTCATGAAGCTAAAGCAGTTTTAGTATTTAGCTTCCTTTAGCTCATGAAGCTAAGGCAGTTTTAGTATTTAGCTTCCTTTAGCTCATGAAGCTAAAGCGGTTTTAGTATTGTAACGTCCCGTCTGACACAATAACGGTTGGAGACGCTCACTTATGCTTTAGTCCTTTTAATGATTCCAAAAGAGTTGCTGTTGGCCGCAAACACACCGAAACACCCAAAACCAAAACCAACAGACAGAGCGTGAGACCAAAAAAACCCAACAACCCCTCCCCCTTCCTAGAACCCCCCCCCCCCCCCCATTCCACTCTATCACCATAAAAGAGAACCCAGCAGAACAGAACTATTAGCTGCAAAGAATGTGGCACCTGGAACAAATACTGCTGACATTCTCACATAGAACACAGCTAAAGTGCAGAACGTTACACTGCCCCCTCCCCACTAAGACCCTCGTCCCGAAGTCTCTGAGATGCCTGGGGGGCCTTCTCAGTCTCTGAGGTCTGTGTAATGTGACCAGGGGCGGCCGCGCCTCTTGTCCTGAGGCAGCCAGTTGCAGGCAGGGGGTGAGGGTGGGGTGGAAGCAGGGGGATGGGGGGTGTCGAATCCCCATGAGCAGGCATGGGCCGCCTAGGGCTCTGTTGCGGTTGAGCGGTGCCTCTGTATGGTGCCAGTCTGTCCCAATGGAGGACCACTGTCCTGCCCCGGGGGGGAAGCTGGACCCTGCACACAACCTCTCCCAGTTTCTCAAGGGCCCCACAAGGACCCACCCAGTGACATTCCAGTTTGGGACATCGACCCTTTTTCCTCCTGGGGCTATACACCCAAACCCGGTCACCGGCCACGAAGTCAAGCCCTTTAACCTGCAGGTCGTAACTCCTCTTCTGTCTCATGCCTGCTTTTTGCAGCTGGTCTCGGGCAAATGCATGAGCTGAGTCCATCCGGTCCTGAAGCCTCCTGGCGTAGTCTGGGCCTGGAGGAACAGCGGGGGAGTCAGGGGGTCTCCCAAAAGTCATCTCCGGAGGGGCGCGCAGTTCTCGTCCCAGCATGAGCAGTGCAGGTGTGCATTGGGTGGAATCCTGTACGGCAGACCTGTAGGCCAGCAAGACGAGGGGAAGGTGCATGTCCCAGTCCCGTTGGTGCTCTGCCGTGACAATGGCTAGTTGTTTCACCATGGTTCGGTTGAAGCGCTCAACCAAGCCATCGCTCTGGGGTTGCAATGGGATGGTCAGAGTCTTTTGCATGCCCAGGCGTCCGTCCATGGCAGAGAACACAGCTGAC